TTTAAAACCTACTAATAAAACTAAATATATTTTTTTACGTCCAGCTTTTGCCGAGTGCTTCGATACAGTAATTTTTTGAACTCGATGGCTTTTAGAGACACTTTTGTGCTCAACCAACCTATGTCGAATAGACCATCAGCCACTTAAAAAATAAAGCGACCATATGAACACGTTATTTATATTAGCTAAATCAAGAGAATAGGTCAACTTTCCATCTAGAAGGGGGCATAGTTGAAGCAAATGTCAGTGCTTTCTTGACAGCCTTTTTATTCCCGCGATTTCTTCTTAATTCCGCTATATTGTTAGAGGGAAAACATGATGCTAGTGCTAGGACACGACATACGTTTTTTGTTTTATATCCCTTTATAAATTATCAGATCTAAAAACGCATTTACAATTAATCGGATATTATTTTTACTTAAGGCTAGAATATATATAAAGAATATCAGGTTATGCCTATTTAGCTCATTATCATAACAGACAATGTTGGCTTAGATTAACTTGTAACAATGATTTATTTAAAAATACCAACCTTCTTTTGGTATTTATAGTATTAAAAGAAGTTATAAATAAAGCTACCATGTTCTGGGTTCCAATATAAATCCCTACTCAACTACTTTTTAGATGAATAATCAGAAAATTACAATGGTAAACTATCATCATATTATAATTCCCCTGTGAATTTAACAATAATATCCCTCTGCTTAGTTAAGCCAAGAAATTATAAAATAGCTATTTGTTAAACTGCCAAATCTAAAAAATTTATAAATATAACTGACAGTTCGGGTCTCAACCACACCTTTTATTTAAGGCGTCCTTTCGTTTATGACGTGTAAATATAAGCTAAAATAGGAGACAAGCAATATCTTATTTCAAGTCCTACACCAGGTCATTATACCTATCGTTAAAAGTGCAGTAAAAGCTAATCATGTAAATATTAAATAATCTAAATGTTGAACGCTTCCTTAGATTCAATCACTCTGTAATTCGGATTTGTGCTTTTAGTCTAAGTGTTAGGGCATAAAAAGATCCATGAACTGAAATTTTTATAATCATTGATACTAATCGAAAAATACAAAAAAATATAATAATATGCGAGACCTTGCTTATCTAGAAGTAAACAAATTTAGTGAATTTCTTTGCTCAATATTCACAATATTCAGGCTTTTTCTTCAGCTTACTGCAAAAGAAACGTCAGATAGCAAGCTTTGCAGTAGCATTCAATCATAAAATTACTCCATTTAATATCTTTAAAAATATTTATGCCGTGTGTCTCCAGGTGCCCCTATGTACAAGTAACTTCATTTTTTGTTTCTATATTTTTCCACTACAGACAAAAAGTTTGAACGTTTTCCTGAGTCTAGCGTTACAAGCCTCAATGAAATCCTTTGCTAAAGGTTTGCATATTGGCGAGTCCTATTAATGAAGAATTAATTGTTTATAATCAATCTATCCTAGCCGTGGTAACCAATGAACTAATTCTATTTTTATTAAAACTGCATAGATTATTTTAGTGTATATCAAGAAATTCTACTAAAAAAATAAGATTAATTTAAAATAGTTGCCTGGCTAAAATTAGGAATCGCCGATATTTCTACCTTATTCCAGCATTGCCCTGAAAAATGTTTATTATTCTGATTCAAGCATTATTGTTAGCCGTTTTACAATATTATATTACCTAAGAATATAAGACAAGAACGTATTGGTTCTTTTTTTTCTTAACAAGTGGCCTTGCTTGCTCTTTTATAAAAAATATTCTTCTTGATAAAATTAACCATGTAAATGTAAGGCTGATCTGATAAATTAAGCCTAATATTTTAATCATTTTTTACAATTTAATTAGTATTTTTTACTGCTCTTTTCTTATTCTTGATTTCTAGAGGTTTTCGTACTGAGCTATGGAAATCATTCATATTTTTGTGCGCCAATCAAGAGAACAAAATTATGATTAAGCTGTCCTCGATTATATGAAGAACGAAAAACGGTATAACTCCCATTCGTTTTTGAATTTTTCAGAATTCAAGAAGATACATTTAAAGGGATTATACCTATGATGTAAGCTAAATAATAATAAATGTTATAGTTACTGTTTTGCTTTAAATTCAAAATTCTCTAATTTTTAAATATTTTTCATTATAAAAAATTGAAATTGTTATAGATATTTAAATGTATTACTACGAGTTTATTTTATATTATGTTCTTCAACTGTGTATTTGACCTAATTTACCATATCTCAGCGCATTTTGCTTCGCTGTACGCGTTGGCCGCTGCTATGTCATGCTTATCGCATTATAAAAAAGTGGGGAGATTTATCGAATGATTTTTATTTGAATTTGAATCATCCCTTTTTACGTAAATAGCTTACTCTGGTCCGGTATATTTCATTAGCTTTATTATTCATTTTTAAATTATATAAGCTTCTTGCCTTTTTTGACAGTAAATTCTCATTTATACTTCATACTCCCACATAATATTTATTTTATGCAATTGGGAGTAGTTTTATTTTGTTTCTTGAACACCACTTAAGCTCTGCTTCTTCGTGTCTTGCCCATTTTTAAATTGCATTCTTTTTGCTTGTCATAATTTATATTACAATCTTTAATCCTTCTTAACTTTGTAGCATGGATTTTCGTCTTCGATCAATCTTCTTTTTGTCCATTATCCTGATTCTGATTTTTTATATCGTTCATGGCAATGATATCCCCAGTCAATTGTTATGTTTGGAGAAGGCTTGTAACAGACCTTTTGCCCGGGCAGAACTTATCAGCTCTTATTTAAAGGGCGAAGTTAGTCTTGACAAAGGAACTAAAGTGGATATTGTGGGCCGAAGCGCAGTAACGGCTAATTCTATGAAAAAAATTATACACAATGGTCGATATCATTACATTGATCAAAGTTTTTTAAAGGATCTTATTGAGGACAAAGAGACTTTTCAAAAGTATCCCGAACTTACAGTCTTTCCGAATTTAGATGCTATAATGATTTCTAACTCTGAGAAATATCTGTCTGAAGATATTAATACAGATGAATCCATTAAATTATCTACTCCTAAGACTTTAAAGCAGGATATTCCCAGGCCTGAGTTAAATTCCATCTCCGCAGACCCTCTGAGTATGGCGAGTTCACATACAAAAGCTGTATTTGCTTCTTCAGATAGTGGAAACCGTTCTCCTAAACTCTCACCGGTCTCTCAGAGTGGTAATATAGATCTAGCCTTAGAATCCGATTTTAAAGATGCTTCTTCAAAATCCATCGATTCAACTGTTTTTGGTAATGACAATAATAGTCATGTGGACGTGGTTAGCTTAACTCCCGAAAAGCTGTCTAACCGAAGCGTACACAGACATATCGATCGTCTCGGCGACTTCTTGGAGGGCAACAAGGATGTTTACTTAGGGAGTGTGAATCAAGGTCAATATCACCGCGGAATAAATGAATCAGAAATGTCCAAAATATCCAATGATACGATCAAATTAGCACTAAATTCAACTAAAATTGTTCCGGATAATGATTCGAGTAATAAAAATAGTGGTAATGCAATTTCTAAGGCTCCGCTACTCCAGCCCTTTGAAGATACTTCTAAATCACCCAATGGTTCTTCGTCTGTCACTGAGTTCGAAACATCATTAAAGAGCCCAGCCTCCACTTATTTAAAGCCCAATACTCAACTTGCCGATCCAAATTCTTCAGGCTTGAAAAAGCAAGAATTCCCCCAGCCCAGCAACTTAAATATCAATATGAGAGACCATGGATCAACAGTCAAAGATAAATCTGAAAAAATCTCAGAGCATGATGATTTAAAGTTGCTTAGTATAAAAGATTATGATCCTGCACATGATTTGCCTGATAAGTCTTCTACATCGATTAAGCCTAATCTCGATACTGAGATTTACGAGTCATCCGATCCTGCGACAACGGACGCATTGTCTAGCATATATGACAAAATGAGTGCTAAGCTATCCGAAGCCTCCTATCCTTCATACTTTTCTTCTGAAAGTCAATCAGTTCCGCGTAAAATATTCACTTTAGCCACCACAAACCACGATATCAACCTTCCATTATCGCCCATTCGTATAGGTCTTTTTCAATGTATCATATGGGCTGCTAGTTCAGATGGCAAGGACTATTCAGTCGATCCGCTAACACTTAGAGAGGCTTCAAATACAAACGCTTCTTCTATTATAATTATCTGGTCGCCAGCTGCAAAGATTATTATGAACACTATATTGTGGTTCGTAGCTGCAGCTAAACGACTTCTTGGCTTTCTTCCTGATAATTTAATCAGTACAATAGATAATTTACTCGTGCCACTTGTGGGTACTCCTCTCATCACTTTAGTATCCTGGAT